TTAATCAACCAAATTAGAGTGTCTTTTTATGTAGATTCTTCCTAAACATAGGTTTAGGAAGAATCTACAACTTCCTAATAGCACGTGTTATTTGACATTTCGATGTCATTGGGAATAATGACGAATTTGCAAAAGAACGATTTCATTAGCAGGCCAAGTGATTTTAATCTTTAGGCGATGTTGACTCTTTAGATTGGATGTCTTATCTAAGAATTGTAGAGATTCTAATGTTGGCCTAAATAACTAAAGAAACGCGAGTATAAATAATCAAATATTAGCATTTAAGTATAATACCAATAAATAAAATCAACTACACTGTAAGCTAGCACAAATTTTGATCACGAATAGAAATTAAGAAATTTCACATGTTGCCTAAAATTTATGTTGCATCATTCAGTAAGAAATTAACATTATCAAAATCAAATCATAAGGTACTTATCCAACATATTTCTTGAGTATACTTATAATTCCTTCATAGCAGTAAATTCTTATCTGCCTATAGAGTAATAGAGGCGAATCACCCCAGCTCATAGCATCATTTGGTAAGCGTAAAGGTCAAATAGGCACATAATCAACTTTTGTAAAACTTTAAAAATCCGCGTGTTTGCACTGCACAACGCAAAGGAGTGGCAGTATGGCACATGTTTACATCAAAGTGTCTCATTAAATCCTTCAGTTGTGTATTAAGTCTTCCCCTAATTAATGATTTGCAGTAGAAAAAGACTATGACGCCAGAGTAAAGGATATTTGGCCGGGAGCGAGATTGGTGTGGGGATCGGTGTCAATGGCGTTCAAATGCTTTGGTGTCAATTTGCATAGGAGCACAATTAGATAGACATTTAGCAATAGAAGAATACTAGAATAACACCGTGTATTATTACACGGGTGTTTGTTAAAAAATTCTCTTCTATATATAATTTCAGAATGCGCTGTGCTTTGGAGTTAGGCTTGGATATAAATTAATATTTGTATTAATTATATTTTAATATCATTTCCTATTATAACCATTGAATTGTAAATATATTTTAAAAGTTGATAACTTTTGTATTTCTTATCAGTTTTTCATATATAATATATCAAACTAATCATCTTTTGATGAGCTTCGATTTGACATCCATATTGTATATATAAAATAAATAAATTATATTTATCTTTGTAATAATAATAAAATTATCTAATAAAATTAATTAGAAAATAAAATTATTTATCAATTAATATTTTGCTTAATATTAAATAAACATATTCTACACTTAGGCATATACATATCACCATAATATTTCTATTTACTTAAGATATATATTTTTGTACTTATGTAATAGTAAATAATATCGATATTATTATGATATATGTAAAAAAATTCAACACGAGTTGACATTTTCATATACATATTGTATATATAAAATAAATAAATTATATTTATCTTTATAATAATAATTTATTACAATTAATTAGAAAATAAAATTATTTATCAATTAATATTTTTCATAATATTAAATAAACATATTCTACACTTATGCATATACATATCACCATAATATTTCTATTTACTTAAGATATATATTTTTGTGCTTATGTAATAGTAAATAATATCGATATTATTATATGATATAAGTAAACAAATTCAACATGGGTTGACATTTTTATTTAATGTACAGGTGCTTACTTATTATGATTAAAAAAATATAATTTGACAATTTAATTAAAACCCAAAGTAGTATATTATATAAAATTAAATTATTTTAATTTTTATAAAAATAAAAAAATTAATATTTTTTACAAAAACTTTCTAATTCAACACCCGTGTAATACACGTGTATTGCACTAGTATTCTTAAATTATAAATTAATGAGAAAAATTATTTTAAAATTTATTTTACAAAAATTATATAATTTAGAATGACACTTGTTACTTGTGCGACTTACATGTGTTATATTATAGTAATTTTTATAACTTATATCGTATAACTACTTGGAATATAAATATATTAATTGATAAATAATTTTATTTTTTTAATTAATGTGAAAAAGCAATTTTATTATTGTTATAAAGATAAATATAATTTTCTTTTTCTATATATACAATATAGATGTTAAATCGATGCTCATCAAGAGATGATTAATTTGATATATTATATATGTAAAACTGATAAAAAATACGAAAGTTATTAACTTTTAAAATACATTTACAGTTCAATGGTTATAATAAGAAATGATATTAAAATGCAATTAATACATGTAACATCACCATAAATAATCAAAATATTTATGGATAATCAGGACCTAATTATTTTTGGATTGAAAGTAAATTGAAATCTACCCAAACCTAATAACGAAGCATGTAATTTTGCCATATAGGATCCCAAAACATACGAGTCTGCCACTTAGGCTCAGTACGTTTTGAATAGAGGGGATTGCAAAATAATATTATGAAATGAAAAAATTTTTGGAAACGATGAAAGAGTGAGTGGGTATCAACAATATGAGAGATAAATAGTGACAATCAGGGCCATCTCTAGAAATTTCGAGACCTTAGATAAATTATTCAATATTCATTCTCGATATTATAAAATCTCATAATTTTATTTCTTTCATTAACCCATCACAATCCACATCGCAAATTAGATAATAAAATATTTTTATTAAATTGTAATAAAATAAATTATAAATTAAGAAACAATGTAAGATCACTGTTAAATTAAAAAAGTATAAAGAGATAAATACTCACCAACAAATTAATTAGAAAAAAAAATCTTCCTTCAGTTCACTTTACAAACAATCGAGAGACATAATTGTAATTTCAAAAAATAGTAGCATGATATAATAAATTAGTTCGCTTGAAATCAATCAACCAGCGGATCAATCTTCAATAAATTATTAAAAAAAATAAAATATAAATATTTTCTTAATAAAGGATCTTAATTGTATTTTTCATTTTGTAATTAAAATTCCATAAAATAATTAAATAAAAAAGTACTAAAAATGAAAAACAAAAAATGAGGCCCCAATTGATTTGGGCCCCTAGGCAATAGTCTTGGGCAACTTGCCCAAGAGCCGGCCTTGATGACAACATAGTTTTCAAAGCAAAGACAAAATGGTCCTAATTTATTGAATATTTTGAGCCAATGATGTATAGTTTGTTTAATTTATTTTACTTTTAATTTATATCATTTGTTTCATTTAGATCTAAATTTGAGGTTATCTAAATGTTGATGACTAAAATGACTGCTCTCATTTTTTTTTAATAAATACACAATTTTGTAGCTAAACTTTTATGAATAGAATTAACATAATGTCTTAACACAATTTTGTTCATATAACGAATGTTTTTTTTTTGCCTTAAGAGAACTATGAGAGTAGAGTATCACTACTGAACCGTTGCAGTAAATAAAATTCGACACAACTAATTATAATGCATCAACTTTCTTTTCCTTATCATATATCACAAATATAAGTTTTACCAAAATGGTTTTTATTCATTTTGAATTTATACATTATAATTTAAAATTCTTTTTCGCATCACTTTACCAAAATATGTCAATTTATATTTAAAAATTATATTAAATTACAATTCTCATGAATTTTATGTAAAAAAAGAAGTATTTAATAATATCTTGGAAATTAATGATTGCTGGACATATATTAGTAACTTTACAAAAATGATCCATCTCGCACATCATTCCTTAATCACTATTGCACTTATTTCACAATTGTGGAGATTTATTTCGCCAATATAAAATTAAAAAATATGTTGACCTAATTTAAATTAAATGTATGCGGATAGAAATTGGGTAATTTTTTAAAGTAGTTTATTCATATTTTTTCAATTTGAATAGCTCACCTTTCTACGTGTTAACCTTAATTATAACAATATTAGTTTATTTGTAGAATAGCAATAATGACTCTAATTTTGTAAATAATAAAAATTATGTTTATCACATACATTTTTATGAAAATAATTGTAGAGGAGTGCAATTAATGTCACAACTCGTGTATCGCAAATATTTTTGTAAGCTTAATGAATTTAATTTTATTTTTTTGAAGAAAAATTATATATTATATTTTTTAGTTATACACATCATATGTTGGTATTGTTTCTAGAGTTACCTATCCCTATTGTCTAATGATTATTATTAGTGATGATGACGGTGATAGTGAACACATTTTATCTACTATTAATGTTATACTTATTGAAGTATTTTTTACATGTAATAATCATATTTATATTCAATCATTTATTATCTCTGTACATTATTTTTTTAATTTTTTTTATTTAACTTATAAACCATTCATATTATTTCTAACACCATGCCTTTTTTGAATATTTTCTTATTTAACTTATACTAGTTGGAACTCGGCTGTGCACGCACAGCCGACCCCAATTCAATCAATAATGTAGCGAAAACTTTGCACACTATAAATATGTAAAATTAGTCAATCCGTATCAAAAAAAGATATAAAAAATAATTGAAATTTTAAGTACTAAGATTAAAATATATTCACACAATAAAAAAAACGCTACACAATAGTAAGAAGGTAAAAGTTAATGAATGATAATTTGCAGATTATATTTGAAATTATTAAACAAAAGAATTATACATTTTATGTGAGGAAATTGTATATTTTTCGTAATGCAGCTAAAATTCATCAATTTATAGAAAAGTGTTTGTTTGAAGATAAAAATTAAAAATAGAAGCCAAGTACAACACTACCAATTAAAGATAACAGATGGGTGTAGAGAGCAAAGTCTAATGCATTACTTCAGGCAATTGGATACACAGTAAACCACCTGCAATTTTGCCACTCTGAATGTTAAATGACTCTGACCATTAGAGTCACCTTGCTATTCATGTTACTATTTGAGGCTATAATCTCTGGTTTAAGCAAAATGATGATGAAAGTGGATGTCATAACAATAATATAATTTACTTAGATTGAATGCAGCTAGTACCGAAAATAAGTCAAGTTTCACTATTAAATGTCTGAAGGCATTGGAGTTGTGACTTATGGGATAATATCATGAAACAGGCAAAATAATATTTGGTGCCTTTGAAAAATCCTCTTCTCGGGAGCTTCATCATGTAGCCTACTATCAAGCTCTCCCCATGCATTGCCTATAAAAAGCATCAAGAGATGAATAACTTTTGGGAGGTTGGTGAGCTAAACAACTCATGCCATAGATCTACAAACAAGCACGTAAAAGAATCGAAATTGAATTATCAGGATGAGATGCACGTAGCAGAAAAGAAATGTCACAAAGACAACTTACAATAATATACTGGTGTAATAATGAGAGAGGTTTCCAAAATTAGCACGTTAAACTGGCGATGGGGACTACAACTTCTACATAACTCAAAACAACAAGGGCTATAATTCTTTCACAATTTATACCTCACACTCAACACATGAATATACGGCCTAAACCATCGAGCCCAACGATAAGTACTTAGAGGGCAATGAATTTCCACCTTTTTGAAGAGAAACATCATTACCACAATAGAGAAAGGCGATTTCCAACATTACACATTGTTGCATACCACAAGATTACTGTTTTCAAAGGTTGTTGTGTATTCGGTGCATACATTTGAAACTAGAAATTATTAATTTTTCTCTAAACTGAAGAAACTATATTTGAAAAACAATAAATGCGTGTACAAGAGTTCAATTGTTTCTCCATTTGCACCAGAAAACACAGTGAAGATCTCAAGGCTTCATCATTCATGAAATAAACATGGACGGTCTTTTATGATCCCCGTAATTATTTGAAACTCTTCAGGATCATCAGAATAAGCTAAGCATAAAAAAGAACTCTAACATTCGCAACGTGATAGCTTAAAAGGTGCCAACTTTAGTCGGACAAATGGAATGGACTTACTTTGCTAACCTTTGCAAGCTCTAAACAAACAAGACCAAAAGTTGTAGCTGCCACCCCACCACCCTTTTGTGTAATCTCAAAAATCCCAAACAAATCCAGAACAGGCCAAACACATATTAAAATTACAAAGTAAAAGATATATTAAAAATTGACAGAATTTCATCAAGATTGAGAGAACATAAAACGGAAAAAAAAAAACAAAACAAAACAAAAATTATTATTATTCAGAAGGAAGTTTGCTATCTGCCACCATTTCAGATTATTCAGTAATCTGCCTCAGGTTTCAAAGTCTCCATGTTCATTTTTTGGTTTCACATATGTAACCAATAACTCTTTCAAATTTTAAGGGGTGACAATGTATTTTATCTTGTGAATAGCAACAGTAAAACAAATAATAATATATAACACATCCAGGGGAAACAATATTTTTTATTATTTATAATGTATATATTAGAAAAACATTTAATCAACAACAATGATCATGCGAACTTAATAAGCAAACAAAAGAGAAAATGTCGAACCCAAGCCATAAAAGTTTTTCTACAGATCGATAGGTACCATATACCCTCTCCATTCATTCTCCATTCGTTGTGTAGTTACTACATGTATATATTCACAATCCAAAAGTTTCATTTCACAAAATATTCAACGCAAATGCATCAATTACATAGAAAATATTACAATGTCTCGTCCACCATGTAGGCCAAAAACAACAAAATCAATAAACGCATACCATCAACTTGGGTTACAGATATTATCCGAGTGAAAGAGAGATCAAATTTTTACAGGACATGCTCATAAATCCGCTTCGAGTAACCCCGAAAAATTATTCCCAATAGAAATGTTTCTAAATGAAGACAATTTAAGATCGGATGACGAATTAACTATAAGTACCCAAAGCTTTAAACCAGAAACTGAGCTTGTAAAGACGTTTATCTATTCTATCAAGTTTATGATTATCCAGTTAATACTTGACCAAGTAGAAAAGGAATATAATACTCTTCTATCGTCCTAGAGGCGAGAAAAAAATGAAAAACAACATCAATGCCTAAGGCACACAAAAGAAATAACATATAACATAAAATACGCAAAAAGCATTGTCCAAAGCTCACCAAATTGACAGAAACTAAAAAAGTTTCCACCTTTTGAGAGACGGAACAAACATAAGAATCACATTACATGCACAAATAAGAAAGTAAAATCTTCAATGTGACTGTTTATTAACAGAAAATAAAACTAAATATTATTTTATAGAGATGTGAAAATATCTTAAAAAATAGTTTCCATCATGTGAAAAAATTCTAAAAAAATAAAATAAAACATAAATGTGATTAATGAAAACACATTTTGTTGTCATTTGAATCACTCCACAATCTCCATAATTCGTAAATAAGAAAAGGACCATGTATATACCTACACGTTAACTACATATCCCCAATCCTATATATGTTGTTGATCTAAAAAGAGAAAGAAGAAACAATATCAGAACAACTTAAACACATCAACGTATACACGTGGTAGGATCTTTTTTTTTTTTTAACGACAGTATCATGCCCAGAGCTTTAACAAATAGTCTGTAATAATCTGGAAAGTGATATGTTAAAACAGGAAAGAAACAATCACCATTGCTATCAAGCAAATCTAACCAACTACAAAACTCAAAAGATCAACTGATAATGCAAAAGACATAAAAAAACCCAAGTATCTTTTTTCTTTCCAGCATAACCAAAGATCATGAGAAGCTTCTAGCATAGAAATGAAGGTAAATAATAATCACGAACAGAAAAAAGCATAAACAATGGATCATCTTGAAAGAAAAGGATAAAAATCACCGCTGGATACAACCCTTTGATCAAGAAGCTAAATTCTGGGTTTACCAAACTACAAAGCACCATGAAAAATAGGAAAACAGAGAGAGACAGAGAGTGAGAGAAATAAAATAAAATATACAAAACAATGTTAAAAGAGAGCATCTGAGTCATATTTGTCACCTCCTAAACATGTGATCCTCCTGCTGGAATTTAAATGCCAGTCAATGCTTACCTTGTGATCATCCTCCAGCTGCATCGCAAACCCACGCAGTAGAGTTCTTCCCTCGAGTAGATATTCTCTTTAACATCCTGAGGCTTTCGGCCCAACATATTGTAATAATTGATGAGAAAAGTCTTATAATCTAGTTATTCACCTCGAGGCACTGAACGTGATAACAAAAGAAGTTTGTGACACTTTAGAAGAAGGCAACATATACATGTAAGCAAATCCAACTGTTCTTATAAAATAAAATAAAAAAAGACAAACAAAATCAATCCTAAATACATTTGGAATCCCTAATCGACCCCCAAACCCAATTCAACAAAAAAACCCTTCAACTGAAAATCGACAGTCCCAAATTTGTCTCTGCAAATTCGAAATCCTTTTCCGAACCCTATTTTCTCTGTAAATGCGAAGCTGATTCTGTATAAATCCAAGAGCCATCGATTGTTTTTGTTGAAACAACTTTCTGAAGAAACCCTAGAAATTGTTGCAACTGATGGACAGGTATGAAACATCATCTCTTCTCTTTTTCTTTGTTTTTTGTTTTCATATAAGTGCATTATGCATTATTTATTTATAATTGATAGATTAGGGTTCATTTAGGTGTAGTATGTTGATGAAGGTTCTCTGATTTCTGAGAGAAATCGTACACTCTATGTTTTTTCAGAGAAAAATTATCAATCTTTGTCAATCACGGTGGGAAGTTTGTTATGCTGGATAATGCGATGGAGTATTTTGGAGGAGATATTCACATCAGCCATGGTATTGATATTGACAGGTTTGGTTATTTGGATTTAGTAGATGTAGTTGAGAAACTTGGTTATGTTGAGGTTGGCAAAATTTATCATAAGATACATGGACAAAATGGATCGGTTAGTTACATACATATCCACAATGATGCTACTTTGATGGAGGTGATTGGGAGTTTGCAGCCCAACAAATTCTATGTTCATCTATTTGTTGATAATGAAAAAGATGGGCAGAAAAAGGCTTCAGAAGAATCTGTGATCAATAATGCTAGTGAAAAGGGGGCAGGAGGAACCACTGATCATGTTCAACCTACTTGTGTTGATGATGTTGATGATGATAATGATAATGATGAGAGTGATGATGATGATTATAACCCATCAGATTGGAGTTCTAGTGAAGATGGACTTTCTGAGGCTGACTTGGGAACTGATGATGAGGAGTACCTTCTAGCAAGGAAAACAAGGTTCTTTGGTGACAAGAAAATGAACAGTACACAAGATGACTCTCAGAGTGGACCCACCAATGGTGATCCAAGTGAACTATTCAGAGAGGATGATGCATCAGAGTATGGAGACTCAGATTAAAATGATTCAAACACATCAGATGATGATAGTGAGAATATTGAAGACAACAAGAGAAGGAAAAAGATGAAAATGGTATTGTATGACCCAAATTGTGATCACAAGGCACTGGCATTTCAGCTTGGAATGCGATTTGAGAATATTGCTCAGTGTAAAGGGGCCATTCAAAGTTATGCTGTGTATAATGGGTGTAATATCCAATTTTGGAGAGTGAATCAACATCAGGTAGAGGCCAAGTGCATTGATGGTTGTCCTTGAAAGATATATGCTAGTGAAATCAAGGCTGAAGGAAGAGTTGCAATCAAGACTTTTGTTTCAAAGCACAATTGTACCAGGGACATTAGAACAAAACATGCTAATGCTAGGTGGATTGCTAAAGAATGCATTAACAAATTCAGAAAGAAGCCAAGAATGAAGATTGCTGAGTTAAAGGAGTACCTACTTGAAAAGTATGTTGTTCAGCCTTCAAAATGGAAGTTGTATAGAGCAAAGAAGAAGGCATTGGACATGATTAGAGGATCTGAAGAAGAGAATTATAAGTGCTTAAGAAGCTACATTACTGAGTTGATGAGAGTTGATATGGCTGGGAGGTTTGAAGTTCTTTTGGAAGAGGGCAGCTTTTTCAAGGCCATGTATGTTGGGTTTAGTGCATTGAGGGATGGGTTTTTACAAGGATGCAGACCAGTGATTGGATTAGATGGCTGCTTCTTGAAGACATCTTTAGGAGGTGTCTTGTTGTGTGCAGTGGGCAAAGATGGAAATAATCAGATTTACCCAATTGCATGGGGAGTTGTTTCCATGGAGAATGAATTTACTTGGTCAGTTCTTGGAAAAACTATTTTCAGAGCTCAAAATAAGGGATGGTTTGGGCTGGACTATCATAAGTGATCAACAAAAGGTTAGAATAATACTTTACATATGTACAATATTCATCTATTACAGAGTTGATATTTTGTTTATTCATATTATGTAGGAACTTATGAATGCTGGCAGGACTTATGCCCCACATGCTGAGCACAGGAATTGTGCTTGGCATGTGTACATGAACTGGAAAAAAACTCACAAAGGGCAGACTTTGAAGAATTGCTTTTGGAAGCTTGTGCATAGCACATATGAGGCTGAATACAAGGAAGCAGTAGATGATAAAGCCTTCAAGGACTTCTTTACAAAAGAGGCTTTTAGGTTCTGTAAGTGTTTTATTTCAGAATCTTCTAAGTGTGATATGATTTTGAATAATGTTTGTGAAACATTTAATAGCACCATTGTGAAAGCTAGAAAGGAACCCATTGTGCAGATGCTAGAAATCATTAGAAGTTATGTGATGGAGAGGCAACATGATAAGCTTAAGTTGATTTGTGGCATTACTGATAAGATTTGTCCTAGGATTAGAGTTACGGTTGAGGAAAATAGGTATAAGAGTAGGCTTTGTTGTACCAAGCCAGCCTTAGGAGAAAAATTCCAAGTTTAGTTGTTAGAAGACTAGTTTGTTGTATCCTTGAGAGAGATGACATGTATATGCAGATCTTGGGATGTTAGTGGGATCCCTTGTGTTCATGCATGTGCAGCAATAAACTGGCTGAAGCATGATGTGAGTGACTATGTGCATCCTTATTACTATGTTGAGAGGTATATTACAGCTTATTCAAAAGGACTTGAGCCTCTCAATGGTAAAAAAATGTGGCCTGAAGCTGTTGGTTATCCAATCAAACC